TCGTAAAAAGAACTCTCTCAGAGATGTTATCCGGAAAAAACGTGATAATTAATATTTCAGGACAGTACGCGATGCGTAATTCCGTTCAGAAGCGCAAAAACTGTCCAGCTCGGAATGCCATTCATAAATACATATTGTTTTACATTGGACTTAGATGGCGAGAAGAGTATTAAATTCGCACCGATCAAATGATCAAATTCAAATTGCACTCATCACATTTCTTTTCAGCGATGACTGTTAATTGATTAAATTAGTGGAATAAATAATTTTGAATTATGTCATCATTGTTGCAATTTTCGTGCATTTTTTAGATGCACATTGTCAATGAGTAATCAATAAAGATGTGAAATCAGTGGTATTGAAGAAAATACATTCACAAATATATTGAAATAATCAAAGTGTGTAGAAAATGCATTAATGCCAAAATTTTTCACGTATTGATTTCATTTTATATATTATTTACTATTTTGCACTTTTTTGATGAGCTCCAGACTTTTACGTCCAACAGATTTCATCTCCCCCGAAGCATCGCTATCAATACCAAGTGAATGTAAGGACAAGGAAGATGAATATGATTCCTATGTTATAAATATGCAAGAAAAACTTCTCAGACTTTGGAAGGGTACACTGAAGTTCGTTGACATTTTCTGGGAGATATGGAAAGATGGGTATTTAAATGGCTTAAGGGAACTTTGACAGAGAAGGGACACAAATCACCCAAAAGCGTAGAAGAAAGAGTTCCGTCTGAAGGAGAAATGGTATTAGTAAAAGGAACGGAAGCTCCTCGAGGCACTTGGAAGTTAGCAAAAATCAAAAAACTCAATATCAGTGCTGATGGTCGAGTGAGAAGTGTCCAAATAGAAATACCGAAGGGAAAACTTTTGAATAGACCGGTAAATACCTTATATCCATTAGAAATCATCCAACTGAACAAATCCAAGAGCCTCCAGACCAAACCGAAGAGGAAAAACAACCTAGAGCTACGCGAACCCGAAATGCTACAAGGCGACAACAAGATCAAAGCAGACCCCACAAGTAATAAACCAAGGGAAAAATCAATGGAGGAGCAAAATAGAAGTGCAAGAGATCAGCAGCAGAATTCAAACTTCTCGCAATGAACTTAATGTTCCTCAGTCGGGAGTGTCGGAAAATCCGAAAACTTCTGATATTAAATTAATCACATCAGTTAAGATTTGTATCACTGAGAGTTAAATTTAGGAAGCTGTATTTCGCAATTCATCTTTGTTCTTTGAGAGATTGCTTTATAGTAATCCCACAAAGCTCTTTATCCTCATAGCTTCTTCCTTTCCTAACATGACATTGTTCTGACCCTGTGGGATTATCTATTAGTACCCACTACATTGGGAGATAGTGAATATCATCTTTTTATCCGTTTCAACATCCATCCGTTTGCTTGCAACTGTCTTTAAATAAGGTGACTGCAAGATTTTGATCATCATTGTTAATGCTGGCAGCTTTACGCACAGTCCATTTCAATTATTACTGTCAATATATCGATACTATCTACAACACATCACATCAAATTCAATAAGTATTCTAAACCCAAATAACGAATCCAAACCAAATATATCAGATCATAATCGATCGACTCTCACTTCAAGTAAAAACAATTTTGTAACCCTCCTCAAAACAACAAGCAATCCGCAACAATTAAAGTGTTAATATTTTCGAATTATTTATTCTAATTGAAAATATTTTTGCATTTACAATAGCATAATCTCTTTATCACTGTATATTTTAATCAGCAATCGCTCTTACAAGCGCATTCTTGAAATGTTGTCGAGATCAAGCAATTGAATTTAATGAAAGATTTATGGTGAAGCCTATTAAGAAATCCAATTAATTACAAGTAAGACTGCATATTCAAAGATTTATAAATTTAGAATAAATTGATGCAATATCGAAAACATTTTGTTTCCATCTAACGATACCTATCATTTGTATATCAGTGCAAAATAACTGAGGGAAAAATAAACTTAAATAAATTCAAAAAACAATAATTGTTTACTTTTTATTCACTCTAACAGAAACGAATTGAAAGAAAATGATAGCAAACATTATATACCCTTTTTCTTAATGAAATAACACATTTTTAGATTACTCGTATGCTTCTATAGTTACTTATATTCAAATATTCAAAATAGTGTCCATCGGAATGAAAGAGTTTCCTACAAGAACGAAATAAATTTTGTTAATTAAACCTGAAACATCGCATGCTATGTGGAAATTAGCGAGAATAAAAGAAATCAAATGAAGGAGAGATGGAAAAATTACGATACAAATGCTAAGTGGGAAACTATTTGGTAGATCAGTAAATACGCTTTATCTCTTGGAAGTAGACGATTCAGAGCGCCTAGAAGATCAACCAATACCATTAGTAGAGGAAGAACCGATTGCTCCACGAACAGGAAGTGCGGTAAGGCAGACTTCTCCTCTCGATAATTTCAATGTTCCTTAGTCGGGAGTGTCGGGGAAATCCCAAAATTTGTGATAAAATTATTAACATGAGTTTTTTCATCACTGACAGTTAGGCTGAGAAAATTGCGTTTCACAGTTTTGTCTTTGCTAAATTTAATTCCTTGTCGTATAACATCTTTGTATTACTATAATGTCATTGAGAGTAAAATCTTTAACAAATGATTTGTTGATGAATCAGTAACAATTAATCTGCAACATTTTCATAACAAATTCTTGACTTCCGAGGTGAAGTAACATGGCTACAAATATTCATAACAAATATCGAACTGGCCAAGGAAAGGTTGGACAGCCTATTAAAGAAGCAAATAAGTATGCAAAATCGATAATTTCATTACTTTCTTAGTAATAAAATTATCGATTTTGCATATTATTCTTTTTCTATCGATGAACAAAACAATAGTTCTGTCGAGAAAAAATTTGGAAATAGAAGTGATGTGAAGGCCATTCTTTTTTTCTTGTATAATTTATAAAATTGGTTGAATTTTATAGACTTTTTTATCCCGACTTTACGCACATATTTAGTTCAATCATATCCGTTGACTTTTTTTTTTCTTAATTTGACTAATTATGAGTTACTTTCTTTTCGTCCTCTTTTATTATTTCTTACTCATTTATGTTCTCTTCTTTAATAATAGTATGAAGAATGATTTATTCTTTAAATTTAGTTTAAAATCATACTTCAAATTAAGGAGAAAAATGAAACAAAGTTCTAACGGTTTTGTATGAACGAATTTTATTTGCTCTTCTTTTTTATTTTGCTTCAGTGTTACTGTTGATCCGCTCTTTTGTTATCTTTCCTCCCGCAACTGTCATTTTGGAAATGTAATAATGACAATTAGTGGATTGAAATTGGATTGTTCATTTTTTCTCTCTTTGAATTTTTCCACTCACTCTTCCAATAATCAATAATTCTCACAATTCAATAATTTCACTAATAATTTTCAACCGGTTTCGCCGAACGAAACTCCAAAAATCTCTGAAATGAATAATTTGAAATTATATTTCAGCACTTACCACAAATATTATCAGTTTTATTTAATATTTTTAAAACAAATTTTTGGAAAATTAAATATCACTTTTTTAATTTTATATTTGCATTTTTTTGTCCAATGTTTACTCCTCTTCTTTTTCACTTATTCTGTATAAATCCCATCGAATTTATTCATCCAAATATTTCAGGTAATCAACTTGTTTATTTAATATTTATTTACTCTTTCTAATTCCCCTCAAGTTATCTATGCTATTTGAATTGTTACGCTTTCATTATCATATCATTAAATTATCGGATATTTTGCTATAAGAAAATTTTTATGACAAAACTGTTATTGAATTGTATTGTTTTTGTTTTCTATTTTTTGTTAAATTTCCCGTATCCATTTAATTTTTACTTCAAATTTTTAGATACCAATATTAACTAAATGACTGCGAAGCATGAAATTTTTAAATATCTTTTTCTTTTGAAAAGATATTCTAAAATATCTTTTTCTTCTAAAATGTCTCTTCTTTTTTGCAGCAAGTATTGAAATATTTGCTGTTGAATGTAAATAATTATTCCTGTTTTATGTTTGTTTTAAATTATTTCGCATCCATCATATTTACTAATAATCATTTTTGCTGATTATTATTCATTTGTTTGAACAAATCCGTTGACATTTATTTAGCTAAAACTCAAATCAAATTAATTCAATATCTTTAATTTTTTTTAAGAAAAAACGGAAAAAAACACAAAAAGTGAAAATTTCATTCCCATTTACAAAAATTAAATAATTGTAAAATGATAATTTTTTTTCTCACAAATAACATTCAATTATATTTCATACAGATAAACATTCAAATGTATTTTGCATAGCTAAAATTTAAATATACTTCACTTGGATATAATTCAATGTTTATTTCAGACCATATACGTACGAATAATATAAAATAATAAAAAATTTGTACCAATTAAAAAAGCAGTTTTATATCAAAATTAGGCTATATAAATTTTTAATTTTTCCATCTTTTTGTGGAAATTTTACAAATTTATATTTAACACTATTACTTTAATACAGTTCCATTTTTTTTCTTTTTTTTTCTTCCCTGTATCACTGTTTGACCTTCTTTAACATTGTTGATTTAATCGCTGTTATCGTTTGATTCATTTCATTTTTACATCACCAACTATCAAGAAATTTTTATCTGTCAATCTTAATTTTATCATCAATTTTCAATGTTATCTTGTTTGATTTTAAATTATTTATATACGAAAAAAATTGGAATTAAAATAAAGAGAGAAAAGAAAAAAAGAAATGAGTGAGGAGATTTTCTTTTCCATTTCTTGCAATGATTTATATAAGAAATCCGTCTGTAATGGATGAAATGAAAAGAAAATTTAGTTTACTGAGTAAACATGTCTTATTCATTTTTGTCCTTATCCGTCAAATTTATTTCCTATTAAAAATGATGCAATTTTTTCTTGTTTTTTTTTAATGAAATTTCAATATGAAAATTCATTTCATCCATTTTCAAATATTTCCGATGGATAATTGTTGGATTACAGTGTTTGCAGACAGACGGAATGATTCTCACTCATTCATGCTACATCCATTCATTATTCAATTTAATCTTTCTTCCATATGTATTTCGATATTTGCTTTAATTCATTGAAGTAATACATTGTGAAACTTATTTTAATCTTAATTGAGCTTAACTGTTATCATCCGCTCATATCGCGGATATCATATAACATAAATTGATTTTAGTTGAATTTTATTTCCATCATCTTATCATATCACGGATACTCGAACAAAATAATAATGTAATATTTTTTTTCTAATTTTTTAAGTTCTAGACAAATTTAAAAGATGATGTTACTTTTTTAATAATTTCGACTGCTCAAACTATTAGCAATTCTCTCTAATTAATACATTTAGCAATATAAATTTAGTCTAAAATGATCAATATGTCAAACATTTGGTGGTCGTATTGGAATTAAAAATTATTAATACTTCTTGGAATATAAATGTTTTAAATGATGAATTTGAATTTCTTTTTCAAATTTTGAAAACTATTGAATAGAAAGTATTGAATAAGGCTAAATTTAGAATTATTTTCAACGAATAAATTGACATTATGGCTAACGATGATTAATGATATTATTTCAGGTGCGAATCGCAACAAGTTTTTTTTTTTCTATCTCAAATCATTTTTTGGTTTAAACATTATTGATTCGTTGTGATTGGTATTTCGTAGTTTGTCCAACGTTACCAATTTTTCTATTTATGCCGTCCTTTATTTAATGGAAATATACGCTTCGTAATATAAGCATATATTTTCATTAAATTTTCCTATTTACGAGTAACATCATTTATCATCGTTAACGCCATAATATCAATTATTCGTTGAAAACAACTTGTAAATCTAGCTATTATTCAGCATTTCTTGTTCAATGGTTATTTGGTTTTTTAAAATTAGAAAAAATTTGATCACCAAATGTTTGACATACTAGATCAAACTTATATTATAGATGTATTAATTAAAGAGAAATGCGTAAATATGCACTAACCGTATGTTATTAGCAAAAAGTAATGTAATTAGTGATGAAAATCGATAGGATGAAAATGGACAAATGAAACGAGAATGGATGTCTGAGATAGATGAATTAGGCTAGAAACTTAGCTTACGCACATAATTCACCATTGTCATCATCATTATTACTATCCTTAATGTCATCATTTATTTTGTGCTGAATTTTGAAGATTAAAATTACAACAGACACAATTATCTGAATAAATGATATGAGATTTGAAGTTTAAAATAGGAAAAATATGACATATGGAAAATAGCAATATTTCGGCAGAATGACATTATTGTAATCATCGTTTTCATCATCATCATTATTATTAAAGCCATTATCATTTTTATCATCGTCATCATTATTATGTTATCTTCGTCATCATTGTTATCATTGTTATCACCAATCGCCGTTATTATTATCATCATTTATTCTTGTCTTGAACTGTGAAGATTGTAATTAGAATAGGCATAAATAAATCTTTTTTCTTCTCAAAAGTGAACAAAGAGATAATGTTATCGTGCGATCATAAAAGAAAAATTGTCTCACAGACAATTTATTCGTTAGCGCAAATTTTCTCTGAGAACGTCCTTCATCATCACAATTGACCGAATCACTCTGATTGTTTTGCATCGCCATCTGTTCCATTTATAAAAATATATTTACTATAAATTTCAAATTCTCAAGCTTTATTATTTGTTTTTTTTTTGAAATGAATAGAGCGAAAAAAATTCTTTAATTTTAATATTATTGTATTTCATGTGTACAAAGTTATGCCTGTCGTTTGATTCATTGAAATATTTGATGACAATTTTTTTATTTTTTTAATTATTGTTAAATTTTTTAAAGGCACACACGCTAATAAAATAATGATTGTGACCTTTTTTTTCGTTATTTGTTATGAATTATTCGCGAATTTAGTTTATTTCAGAATTTATATTGACTAAAAATGAGGATAATAAGATAGAATGGGAATGAAACTGAAAATTAAACGTTTTTGACCTAAATTTAATATAATTGAGGTAAAATTTGATGGATTTAAATTGTCAGATTTAACGGATCTGAAACGAATTGTTCTCAGTTAACAATACTTTTTTGTGCTTGTTTGCAGCGTTTTTTTTTGGTTTTTATTTATTAAAACTTTTTAATTCTGCTTGGTATCAGTAAATGAATTATTTCTTCCGGTTTTTGTTCGTAAGTTGTATACCAAATTAACACGATAGTAATTACCTCAGGTAAAATTAGTCTACATCAGTTGATGATTGTAGTTATAAATTTTAAAGCACTTCAACAAAAAAGTATGTTAGAAAAATCAATTAATTACAGTGAATAAAACATTTACAATCGGTATTGCGGCTGAAAAAATCCGAAATTTATTCATTAGTAAAAGAACACCGAGAATGACCTCAAATTTTTCAATTTATAAC